GTAAGGGATCCGTGGCGCAATGGTAGCGCGTCTGACTCCAGATCAGAAGGACTAGAATGACATAATGGTAAGGGATCCGTGGCGCAATGGTAGCGCGTCTGACTCCAGATCAGAAGGATGCGTGTTCGATTCACGTCGGGTTCAAATTCGTGTTTCCCACTTTTTCTAGCATTCCTCCTTTTGATAATACGAATCTTCCAAATTTAACCTTTTCCATTCTATATTGGGATTGGGCTTAATTTATAGGCCACGTAAAACTAGAACTAGACTGACATAATGGTAAGGGGATCCGTGGCGCAATGGTAGCGCGTCTGACTCCAGATCAAAAGGTTGCGTGTTCGATTCACGTCGTGTTCAAATTCGTTTTTCTAGCATTCCTTCTTTTGATAATACTAATCTTCCAAATTTAACCTTTTCCATTCTATATTGGGATTGGGCTTAATTTATAGGCCACGTAAAACTAGAACTAGACTGACATAATGGTAAGGGGATCCGTGGCGCAATGGTAGCGCGTCTGACTCCAGATCAAAAGGTTGCGTGTTCAAATTCGTTTTTCTAGCATTCCTTCTTTTGATAATAAGAATCTTCCAAATTTAACCTTTTCCATTCTATAATGGGATTGGGCTTAACTTATAGGCCACGTAGCACTAGAACTAGAATGACATAATGGTAAGGAATCTATGGCGCAATGGTAGTGCGTTTGACTCCAGATCAGAAGGTTGCGTGTTCGATTCATCGGGTTCAAATTCTTGTTTCCCACTTTTTCTAGTATTCCTTCTTTTGCTAAATACCAATCTTCCAAATTTAACCTTTTTCATTGTATATTGGGATTGGGCTTAATTTATAGGCCACGTAGCACTAGAACTAGACTCACATAATGGTAAGGGATCCGTGGCGCAATGGTAGCGCGTCTGACTCCAGATCAGAAGGTTGCGTGTTCGATTCACGTCGGGTTCAAATTCTTGTTTCCCACTTTTTCTAGCATTCCTTCTTTTGATAATATGAATCTTCCAAATTTAACCTTTTCCATTCTATATTGGGATTGGGCTTAATTTATAGGCCACATAGCACTAGAACTAGAATGACATAATGGTAAGTGATCTATGGCGCAATGGTAGTGCGTTTGACTCCAGATCAGAAGGTTGCGTGTTCGATTCATCGGGTTCAAATTCTTGTTTCCCACTTTTTCTAGTATTCCTTCTTTTGCTAAGTACCAATCTTCCAAATTTAACCTTTTTCATTGTATATTGGGATTGGGCTTAATTTATAGGCCACGTAGCACTAGAACTAGACTGACATAATGGTAAGGGATCCGTGGCGCAATGGTAGCGCGTCTGACTCCAGATCAGAAGGTTGCGTGTTCGATTCACGTCGGGTTCAAATTCGTGTTTCCCACTTTTTCTAGCATTCCTTCTTTTGATAATACGAATCTTCCAAATTTAACCTTTTCCATTCTATATTGGGATTGGGCTTAATTTATAGGCCACATAGCACTAGAACTAGAATGACATAATGGTAAGGGATCTATGGCGCAATGGTAGTGCGTTTGACTCCAGATCAGAAGGTTGCGTGTTCGATTCATCGGGTTCAAATTCTTGTTTCCCACTTTTTCTAGCATTCCTTCTTTTGATAATACGAATCTTCCAAATTTAACCTTTTCCATTCTATATTGGGATTGGGCTTAATTTATAGGCCACGTAGCACTAGAACTAGACTGACATAATGGTAAGGGATTCGTGGTGCAATGGTAGCGCGTCTGACTCCAGATCAGAAGGTTGCGTGTTCGATTCACGTTGGGTTCAAATTCGTGTTTCCCACATTTTCTAGCATTCCTTCTTTTGATAATACGAATCTTCCAAATTTAATTTTTTCCATTCTATATTGGGATTGGGCTTAATTTATAGGCCACGTACCACTAGAACTAGACTGACATAATGGTAAGGGATCCGTGGCGCAATGGTAGCGCGTCTGACTCCAGATCAGAAGGTTGCGTGTTCGATTCACGTCGGGTTCAAATTCGTGTTTCCCACTTTTTCTAGCCTTCCTTCTTTTGATAATACGAATCTTCCAAATTTAACCTTTTCCATTCTATATTGGGATTGGGCTTAATTTATAGGCCACGTAGCACTAGAACTAGGCTGACATAATGGTAAGGGATCCGTGGCGCAATCGCGTCTGACTCTAGATCAGAAGGTTGCGTGTTCGATTCACGTCGGCTTCAAATTCTTTTCCATTCTATATTGGGATTGGGCTTAATTTATAGGTCACGTAGCACTAGAACTAGACTGACGTAATGGTAAGGGATCCGTGGCGCAATGGTAGCGCGTCTGACTTCAGATCAGAATGTTGCGTGTTCAATTCACGTTTTGGGATTGGGCTTAATTTACAGGCCACGTAGCACTAGAACTAGACTGACATATTGGTAACGGATCCGTGGCCGTAATGGTAGCACGACTCTAGATCATTGCATTTTCGATTCCGTGTTGCAGTAGTTGTCCTCCAACATCCTTGTTGAAAGATTTCAACACTGCCTTCTATTAAATATTATAAATAAATGTTCTAGGATAAAATCTAACATACCTTATACGATTTAGCCCAAGACATTAATCAACATACCTCAATCAGCTCAGGACTTTAAGGCTTCACGGTTCGGGATATTTGAGGCAGCAGACAGAGAGAAGAAAGCCAGAATGCAGCGTCTCGTCAATTTGCCAGCTTACCCTGATGGAAATAAAATAAATATGGGCCAAATAACAATAAAATATACTGCAAGAAGATTAAACAAATTGAAGTTTTTACTGCTATAGTATTCATATATCAAAAATAAGACAGAGAGGTCTTTAACCACCGCATTCCAATCATAGCAGTAGAGTTCAATTTAGGTGTTGATGATAGATAAGTTCTCCTCCAAACCAATAATCGTTCCAGAACGTTCACGTTAATGGAACTAAGAATAAAGATTTCTTGGCTTAAGGATTTTGGTAATCGTTCATAATTTGTTGTGCTCTCAACATCTTGCAGGGAGATACTAGGTGCTCTCATTTTCATTTACCATGGTGTGCCATTTTTGGCTTCATTTCTATATTCCAACCCTTCTATGAACAAAACTAGAGAGGTCCACCTACATGAACCTCAAATTAAATAAAACCACTTTGCAAGTTTTCCAGAAGGCTCCTTTTGCTCTATTCTCTTTATCAATCCTCCTATCAAAAGTCTTAACTTCTTTAATGAAAGAACGAAAGATTAACGAGTGTTTATGAGCCTGATGCAAATAGACCGAAAAAAGAAGAGCTCCAGCTTCTTACAAAGTGATACCGTACAAGGCAATATTCAGTAAAATCTAAGCAAACGTATCCGATTGTTTCCAGAACTAAAAATGAATTTAAGCAAGGTTTGACAAATCTACATAGATAGGTCTTCTAAGTTATGTATGCTTACGGTTCCGCCTAAAAAAGACCACATCAGAAGCAGCGCACCATCTACTCAAGTGACATTAAAATTTTTATAGGATAAACCAAACCGTCTCGCAACTATCAGAATACACAGTCTAAGCTATCTACATTATAGAAATTTAAACCTGACTCGGTGCGTTCAAGCAGCATCATGTATTGTTGAGTTCAAAATCGAGTCCAAAGCTTCAAATAAAATTAATAAACCCTGGAGAGACAACTAAACAACTAATATTTGAACACTGCCATAAGAAATGAAGAAATAAGCTAAGAACTACGATCCCGATATGATATAGTCAATTAGCCAAAAGGCAAATCACAAAATCAAAATCCAGAAAGTAATGCTAATAACTAGCAAACTATAAACAATAGACATGTTCGATGTCACTTAAAATGCCGATCGCAAGGCTAACGACTAACCTAGTTCCTTATTCCGAACAGCTATGTCTATTCCATGCATTTTGGAGAAACGGAGATGCATTTGACGAATGGCAACAATCTCGGATGAAAATGAAGACAAGGAAGTGTATTATTAGAGAAATGAAGATGAGAGAGTTGTTTTTCAGACCTTAAGAGGATGAAGGGAGGTCGAAGGATGCCGTGGATGACAAGACCTGGTGTTGCAGAAGCCCTTGGATCTCCGGGAATCGCCATTTTCGAGTTTGGTTTTCTGTCCCCTGACTCCTTGTTTTCCCGCTCTCTCACTCTCCTCTCTTTGCTAGAAGGAACTATGAACCGCGTTACAACTTACAAGTGCCTGAACAACGAGTCCTCCATCCGTAATTATTAAGAACTTATTAAATATTGTTTAAAAATTTTAGTGATTTATTTGATATAAAACTAAAATTTTATAAATTTATTAAAATTGAAAGACTAAAATTATTTTATTTTTTATTTTTATTTTTATTTTTTTTACAAAAAAGAAAAAAATACTTCGTTCTTCGTTCTTTGGGAGTTGAGCACAAAGCTGGCTAAAGGCTGGCTAGCAGATATTATCCACTTTATTCAATTACATATTGTTGTCAGGTTATAAAACACATCTAATGGAGAGAAGTTTCCTCACCCTTACAAGAAATGTTTCGTTCTTCTCTCCAACCGACGCAAGATCTCACAGTCTACCAACATCAGCATCTTCGCTCGCATTCACGGTATGCATCTATTAAAGAGAAGTTTTCACACCTTACAATGAATATTTCGTTCCACTCTCCAACTGAGATTTCATAACCCACCTCCTTGAAGGGCATAGTGTTCTTGCTGGCACACTGCTCGATGTCTAGCTTTGATACCACTGTAATAGTCCAAAGCCACCATTAGCCGATATTGTCCTCTTTAGCTTATTACATATCGAACAAAAAACCCTTTAGTTATCTCGAGCTTACAAAAAGCCCTTCAAAATTCACTTTTGTTCTTAGAGTTTACAAAAGTAAAATTTTAGTCTAGTTTTAGAAAGTATTTATAAATGGTATGCAACTCTTCCATGAGTTGCATCCTTTCGCATCTATGAGTTGTGTTTATTCATCCAATGGATGAAAGCCTTTTCATTTCCACAAATTGATAACAACTACTGAGAATCTATAAACCTCATTAAAACAATATCTATAAAGTTGACAAGATTAAGCTTTCTATATATTTGAACAATGCAGATTGAATAATGCAGCAAATGTAACTACAGGGTTCATATCTCAGCTTCATACCTAACAGCAACGCGTCATAGTTCGAATATCAGAATGCTTCTACCCTAACGCCATCACGGGGCTTATCATAGGCATCTTTCGATCTCGACTTCTTCACTCCTGCAGTGAACCATACCTTATCAGATTTGTAGCCCTCAACCGTCACGCTTGTCACTTTCACCCACACTAGGACCTTTGTCTTCATTCCTTCAATGCCTGTGAGCTTCCCTCTCTGAAGAGTTCCTTTAACCCGTGTTGCATATCGGATTACAGACGAATCCTTGAAGCTTATCTCGCAAACCGATGGTAAGTAGACGATCAGCTTCGACTTGGATTCATCAAATTCGTAGCAGGTTATGTTCTGAGGAAAGAGGCCGGGTGGTAAGTTGTACTCGCGAAGTAAATCTGGTAAGCTCTTCAATGGCTTCCCTGTGGGAGGAAAAAGATATGATCAATCTTCAGCATTATGCTCAGTTGAATCTCTTACAACTTAACACAAGGGAAGAGGGGCAGCAGTCATAAGGGACTAAAAGATAGTTTACAAAACAAGGTTTTAGAACGCGTCTTCTAGATATTATCCTCTTTGGACTTTTCCTTTCGAGATCCACCTCAAGGTTTTAGAACGCGTCTGCTAGGGAGAGATTTCCACACCCTTATAAAGAATGTTTCGTTCCCCTCTCCAACCGATGTGCGATCCCACAATCCACACCTTGGAGCCCAGCGTCCTCGCTAGCACATCGTCTAGTGTCTAGTTATGACACCATTTGTAACAGCCCAAACTCACTACTAGCGTATATTGTCCTCTTCGGGTTTTCCCTTTTGGGCTTCCCCTCAAAGTTTTAAAATACGTCTAATAGAGAGAGGTTTTCACGCCCTTATAAGGAATGTTTCGTTCCCCTCTCTAACCAATGTGGGATCTCACCATGATAACTATCACCATTCGCAATTTCAGATAGATTAGATGCACCCCCATCTACCAAACAAGGCACTACCTAATGGGGGCTAATTCATGGGGACTTTTTGGAGGAGTTGAGAGGCTATGGTGGGGATTGTCCTGCACTTCGCTCATCAAAACCAGCATTAAGTATGCAATCATCCTGATATAAAATGAGATAATATGCGAGAAGTTACCTTTTAGCTTGTTGAAGAGCCACTTTGCCTTCTCTTCAACAGTGCTTGAAAAAGTCTGCAATAAACAACAACATATATGAGATTCAAACCAAGTTCTAAGTTTAATGTTTGCCTACACAGAAATAGAAAGAGAATCATCGTTTTAACTGATACCAATATTGATAATTAACTGAAGAACCATTGCAAAAAGAGAAATCCTCACTTTTTACAGACAGATTCCAAATACTAACATATAAGATCTCATTCTAGTACAGATCAAGGAGTCTTATCCCAATAGATTTTGGTTGATAAATATAATTAGTGGAAGAAACCAAATCCCAAGGTTTCTTTTCAATCAAACTGGTATAAACAACCAAATCCCAAGAAGCCTCATCGGTCCATTTTCACTTCAATCGTAACCCTGTCGCTTAATCCTCTGATTAGTGGAAGAAACCAACAGATCTCACCTTAATCTTGGTAATAAGCAATAATCAACGCAAAATCAGCACAAAATCCACAGACAATGTCAATCAAATCGAGCAGCATTACTTAAATCGCGACAAACAAAAAGAAACTCCAACACTCAAAATCAAAGAAAAACACAGGCAGCAAAGGGTACAATAAACGATCGAACGATCGAACAAAATCAACAAACACAAAGAAGAAACAAAACGAGAAACTCACATGGAAATCGTCGGTGATGTTAGAGATTTCCTCCTTGGCTTTCTTTGAAACCCACAAGCTCCCGACCTTCAAGCTGCTCACCTTGGTCAAAGCCTTCTCCATTTTCGCAGCTCGGACCGAGCTTCTCTTCCTCTAAAACACGGCGATGATAGAAGAAAACGGCGAAATGGGAGTACTGGAGCGTATGCGAGCCGCATCCATATAAATCTGAAGCTACCAAGAGAAAACAACGGCGCAACTGTCAAATGTGAATTGTGGCGCTCTAAATTCTCTTCCGCGCTGTTGCTAAGCAAGAGTGACGTGAATTGTTGTGAAATGGAATCGGAAGGGTAATTTGGTCATTTTAAAAATCAAAATTATAGTTTAAAAAAATTATGGATAAATGAATATATCATCATAAAAAACCATAAAATTAAATTAATTAATAATATTATAAGTTTTTTGGGCTAGATTATTTAAAAATTAAATTTTGTTTCAATAATATTCTTTAAAAATTCATAAAATAAAACTTTAACCGTCAATTCAAAATTTAATGATAAAAATATTTTTTTCAATATTTATAAAAAGTTAATGATATTATTGGACGATGAAGATGAGTTGGCACGTGGGTGAGCCGTCTCAGTATGGTTTACAGCTCAAAAGTTGATAAAGACACAGCCGCCTTCTGATGTTTCCATTTTTTCTTTAATTTTATTTTTGCCAATTTGTTGCATTGCTCCAAAAATCATTTTTTAATATATTTAATTACACGTTTAAAATAAATTTTTTATTTTGTGTTTAATGGATTTTTTAATATTTATTCTTTTAAGATATTAATTTAATTTGAAAGCTTACTGTGGGTATTAATTTAATTTTTTTAAAAATAATTCTATCTAATTATGCGTCGGTGCGTAATCAAAATGTTAAAAAAATTATTGATGAAAAATAAGGTAAGAGAATATTAATTATGACAATAATATACTGAAATAATCAATACATTTGAAAAGAAAAATTACTTATATGTGTCGATTTATGAACATTAATTTTATGCTTAAATAATCTAATTTAAAATATTGTATATAGTAAATCTTTTTAAAATATAACATATTTTTATTATTGAATTATGTTAAATTTAATATGAAGATTATTCAAATTTACCCTTCAACCTAATAATTTAATAAGAGCTCGTATAAGTGAAATGTATTGTTTTTTTAAATAAGACAAAGACAATTAAATGAATTTATTTTAATAAAGAAAAATGTTTTTTTAATAATGTTAAAAAGATTAAAATAAAAATTTCAGTTAAATAAAACTAATAAAACAGCTCAGGTACTTTTGTTTTTAAAACTTAAAAAAATAATAATAATAATGTATATCTGTATTTATAAATTTTTCCACCAAATTCATTATTGTCATAAAAAAAACAAGAAATGAACCGAACTGGGTCCATAAATGGCAGTACCACAGCACAGTTTTTAAGGCTGTGAATGTAACAGACCCTAAAAACGACAACGCATTGGATCTGGTCGCTGAGATCGATCAGATAAGACGTCTAACTGCTCAATCACCACCGTACGATGTTGTACAGCTATTCTGACCAAAATATCCCCACTCTTCTTCTCTTATTCCGCTTTAGCCCTTTCTTCTTATTTTCCAAGTAGTTATGAGCCGAACATAAAGCCCAATAATAAGATTTTGAAATTGGGCTAGGAAAGGCCCATGTTGACTCTCCCAGCTGTCAGCTTAACCTCGGCCATATTGACTGGACAACCCCCGCATATGTGGAAGGGAGCAATTAAGTGGGGCCCACCGGAAACAAACGACGCTTTCATGATTAGCGGTCAACCCTAGGATTTTTATACTTTACCAAACGGTGGGACCACACAGAACATTTATTTTTTAAAAATAAATAAATAAAAAGAATTTTGTATTAGGGCTACCGTGTAATGTAATGTACTCTATACGGGAGCCGTCCATGCAACCCTGGGAATAAAATCCTAAATACCCAATCAAAATTAACTCATTTGTTTTTTTTTTTTCTTTTATTAGTATAATTAAGCTTTTTTTTTTTTTAATTTATGGTAATAAGAATTTAACACGAGTGAAAATGACAAATCTGATTGCTGGGCCACGTCATGAGTTGGCTCTAGTGCATATGACATGTGAATTGGGACCCGCAATAGCGATTACATTTGCCACCATAATCTTTAAAAAAGAAAAAAAAAAAACACATTTTCCTTTCATAGACCTGTTTAATTAATGATCGTGAAAATAAGATAAAAAGAAAATTAAAAAATATTAGAATCAAATTAAATTTTAAATATATGTATTTAAAACGTGAACGAATACATATTCTTATTTGAAATATGTCATAGAACCCATTACATACATAATAAGAATTAATAAGAATTTTGGGATTTTTAAAATTTAAAATTATTTTAATATAAAATTAGAAGTATGAAGACCCAAAGATTTTTATATTTAAAAAAATTAAAACTAAATTTGTAATTTTAATTGAACGAAAATAAAATCAAAACGGAAAGAAGAATATTTAATCTCAGCCGTTGAATGGAAGATAGAGAGAGGCAGATCGGAGGGTGGGAAAGGGAGTGGAGATGAGTTACTGAAAAGGGCTTAAAAATTGTCTGTGGGGAAGGGGGATGGATAAACGGGAAAGAGACGGATGGCGACGAAGAGCAGACTCGAAAGGCCGAATCCAAAAATATATATAATATTAAAAAAATGCAAAATATTATTAATTTCAGATTCGAGCGTGGGGACCACCGTCGACATCGGAGGGGTATTTGTGTAAGAACATATAAAATATGGGGGTGGTTTGGTAATTAGGTTGTTTGTAAATGAGGGGCAGAACGGGGAGAGAATTTGTAGGTGGCCTAGATTCGTGGACGGAAATCGACATGGGGATTTGAGAGCGAAGAGGTTTTGATTGCTGGCTTGTTTGCAATTTTCGCCGCAATGCCCTTTTTGGAATTTGGACGGCGTGAAGCATGTGTACGGATTCGATTCGAATAATACCCTAATTTTCCATCGCATTCCTAACCTTTCCAAATTACTAAAACACCCTTCCCCTTTCATCTTCTCTTCACAACTCAACCTTCTAATTGAATGGTCCGGTTATTATTTTAAAAGTATCATCGTATACATATTACATTAAACTAAAGTCTTATAAAGTTCAAATATCTAATGTTTACAAGTCACACACATCACTAACATCAGTTACAAACGTTCAAATATATTTTAAAAAAATTAAAGTAGATATGGATTGTAACACTATTTTTGGGTCTATTGGTTTTACTCGACCAAAAAAATGTTAACCCACGAACCGAAAAAAATATAGATTGGATTGGGTCGTTTAAGTTATAAAATCATATAAACGCCTCTATTTAAAATTTTTATTTTATTGGGATAATTTTTAAAAAATATTTTATATCGTTAAGAATGAGAAATAAAATTTGGATCGAATGTGTGTATTCTCATTGATATTCATAACGCTTAAATAACATACAAGCTACTAATTACACTGATTAAATATTGAAAATAAAATAAAATATACTACTAATTAAATTTTAAAATAAATAATATTAATTGATTAAGAATATATAAGATATATTTCATAATTAATTATTATAATATATTATCCAAATAATATATCGACCAGACCCAACAGCATAAAGGAGAAATTTAGAAAAGGACTGAATTGAGTTTTAAGGGACAAAGAAAGGCCGACCAGAGTTGTGGGGGAACTGACCGAGGCTCCACTTAACTCGGTTGCCAGTCTATCTATGCACAGGGATATAGCTATTTTTATTTATTTATTTATATTATTATTTTATTATTGATTCTTTAATAATTACGTGACGGCTAATTGTATTATTCAAAAATTACAGTCTGGATTGTTACCATAGCTTAAAATTAACTTTTTAATTGTTATTAAATCGGGCCTAAATTAACATAGAAACCTTAAAATTCACAAATCAAACTTCACATTGAGCTAAGTTCCCCATTTGGTCACCTTACTAATTATTATTTATACACAGTTTCAATCCTCGGCGCACAATAAACAAATAAATATTAAATTAAATGTATCTCATTTTATTATTATTATTATTATTTAAAGTATGTCTCTCTCTTCTGGTACATGGGAAAGTATGACTTTACCCATTAATAAAGTCCGCTTTTCCCCTCCTTCGAAGGGTATACTAGGAAATTACTTAATTAAGTTGAAACTTGAAAAGTACATTTAATTTAATTAATTAAAATCGTTTCATACTTAAATTATCATTATTATTATTTTGTTATTAATTTAAATTTTAAAATACACAAAAAAAGGTGGGGTGAGTGGTGGGCCCACTCCCAGTTTTTGCCAAATATTCCTCCTTATTAGTTGCGTTGGAAAGACTCACTCATTTTCCATGAAATTGATAATAATCTTTCCAATGGGACCACTCCCTCTCTCTCTTATTTATTTATTTATTTATTATTTTTTCTTTATTTTATGCAAAATAAATAAAATTTTAAATATCCTTTGAACCCATTTATTTAAATTATTATTCATATTAAGTCACGGTGTCACTAAACTATATTTTAATCCAATCTCATTGTATTTTTATTATATTAACGTATTTTATTGTCTCTATTTTTTTTAAAACTACACTACTTTAACCAAATAATTTAAAAGTAAATACAAATCTAGTGGGACGTCCCACGTTAGTTGGGGAGAGAACAAACCACCATTTATTAGAGTGTGGAAACTTTCCCCTAGCAGACGCGTTTTAAAGTCTTGAGGGGAAGCCCGAAAGGGAAAACTCAAAGAAGACAATATCTGCTAGCGGTGGATTTGAGTTGTTACAACGATGCGGTGTGCCAGTAAGAACGCTAGACCTCAAAGGGAGTGGATTTGGGGGTGGTCTCACATCGATTGGAGAAAAGAAAGAATGACAGTGAAGACGTTGGGTCTCGAAGAGGGTGGATTGTGATGTCCTACATTGGTTGGGGAGGAGAACAAACCATCATTTATAAGGGTGTGGATGTCCCTGGTAGACGACATTTTAAAGCTTTGAGGAGAAACCCGAAAACAAAATAAATATTGGAAAACTTTTATTAATAATAATATTAATATTGAGGCGGCATTAAGAATTGATATTTCCACTTTTCGGACATCCCCAGATTGATGTGTGATGCTCCACGTCCCACCTCATTACCATTAGAAGGAGAGAAAGATGGGAGTTTTTGGGGCCATGGATTTGGACTTCACAGTTCATATGAACAAATGGCCCCACGCTAAGATGCATTG